CCTTCCCCCTCCAAGTTTTCCAAAGATAATTCAATACCATCAGTACTGTTAGCAGATCTCTATAAGCAGCTGGCATCACCCTTGTAGACTACTAATGGAAGCTAAATACATCCAAGCAAGGCACATTGATAGATGAACAATTATGCTGTGAAATTAGTGTTACGCGATGGTTCTTCCACACCAGTCCTATAAAAACTCCAAGGGATAGGGCTAGTGGTTATGTGGTTTGTATCTTGTCTTCTTTTTATCTTAGGATAGGAACCAAATTGGCAAATATTATCTTATTATATATCTAAGTATAGTTTTAAGATCCAATCTAAAGATTGATCTAATGGTGGCAGAATTAATGCGACACCATTATAATCCGCTGTAATTGCCTCATGGCTCCCTCTGGGTCTCATTTATTCTCCGGCATCTCTTTCATGATTGTTAAAGATGATTGACAAAGGGTGGAAAGTGCAGGGCACAGTGCTAGATCTGTGTAAGGCCCAACATTTGATGGACAACGTTAAAGATGATCAATAATGAGCATGCGGAGAACAGTTCACCTCCATGCATGCAAGATATTTCTTTCGTGTTCATGTTTTTGTATACAATTGCTGACTGCCTCTGCCAACACATGCCTGTATGATCATTCCCTTGTCTTGGAATTCTACTTCTTTTTCGAGGCCCAAAATGTAAGAAAGTAAATGGTTAGGGAGAGGAGAGGGGAAAAAGAACAGACAGGAAAAGTAAAAGTTAGGTGAGCTATAGCCTCTGTGTCCCTCCCGATTGCTTGCTGTCTCACTCCATCTCGATTTCATTATTGTTAGATTTCGAATTTCTAAGGGAAAACAAAAGGGAAACTTCAGATTAATCTCTAATTGCCCACCAACTTCCAATTAGACCCCTATCATAATTATTCATGGATCAAATTGATGCATTTTGATTTGTTTTTCTCTTAAAAAGGCATCAATTGGCCTTCCAAAATATTAACAGACGTGTTTTATAATATTTTATACATTTAAACATGCCATTTTGAAGAGATTTTGACCTTTGCTGTTGTCAAACAACTGCGACAGCTTCAAATGAAAGGATCCAATTGAAAAACATATAAAACATCGGGCATGAAATTGATAAAAAGAATTTCAAAGGGATGAAACTGAGATAGATCACTAACCAACTACCAACGAAAAGATTATTGTCATCTACATTTCAGTTGCTGTCTAATCTCTCATCGATCCTTTTCTGAGGTTTCTTTTTCTCTTTTTTGTGCTTTTCTATGTCCAAAATCATTGCGCCTGACTTTGTTGACTGCTCATAGCCTCTTTAGTCTCCTTCCTCTGGTTTCCTCTTCCACAAGCGAAGGTTTGTGAATCTTTCCTTCCAGGCTAGCCAAGGCTGGTTGCTATCAGTTCAAGAATTAAAACCCCCCTGCTCAGAACCTCGGGCTTGTTCATGAATTCTAAATTAACGCAATTATTTGAAGTACATGTAGGAACGAATTAGAAATTAACTGAATTGGATACTTTTTTTATTTTTTATTTTTGGGTAATTTCAATTAAAAAATTAAAAGAATTTATTGAGTTTTCGACGTGATCACAAAGATTATTCGTACAGCAGGTAGGGTGTTTGAAACAATGATAAAGATTATTTTTAAAAATAATAATTTTTTATTTAGAAATATATTAAAATAATATTTTATTTTTATTTTTTAAAATATATTAAAAGTATATTTAATAATGTAATTAATGATTGTTTTTTAAATAATTTTTTATGCTAAAATAAATGTTAATAATTTTTTTATTTTTAAAAAATTACTTTTAATATTAATACATCAAAACGATTCAAAAGGTATAAACCATATCAAATTTTAATAAAAAAAATAAAAAAAAAATTAAACTTCTTTTAAATATAAATTCAACTGCCTTCCAAACAACATCCTATAAAAACTATTTAAAAAAACCCTATTTCAAAGACGAATCCAAACACGCTAGAAGCCAAGCCATGAGCATTTGTGTGAAACTTTAGCTACAACTAGGAACACCTCCTCGCAATTTTCAGCAGAAAAATGTGGTTCCTCTACAGAACTTTTGACTTAGCACAAGATGCTAGCCGAAGAAAAAGCAAGCACTTCTCCCTCTCTTTTCCTTGTTCGAGGGGAGGGGGGGCTGCAAAGCAAGCACTTTACTTAACGGATTCTTACATATCCAAGGGAAAATCCACTACCAAGACATAATCATGGTCATTGTCGTCTAATCAAATCCATTTTGACTGCATTTGACCCCTTTTCCTTCTCCATTGAAAAGGGTCTCCAAGCATTAATGATCATGTTAATTAGTTGACCTAGTGGGAGAAAGGGGCAAAGTGCTGTGTGGGCGTGCCTTAGTCCTTGATGGTAATTAGTGAATGAGTTGAATCTCTTAATTACGCCTTAAGCCTCACTCATCCTCATCATTGACTTCCTCATTTAATGTTAAATTAACAAATCAATCAACCTTTAACTTGAATCTCAAGCTTAAACAACACCATTGAAGACGGTACTCAAGTGGAAAATACCCTCTTTCTTTTTCTACGAGCAAGTGGAAGTGTGGAGCACAATCCAAGTGAAACGTTGCATTAACTTTGCCGATGCAATAATGGCGAGCGACCTATATTATAGTGAAATTGCCGGAATTTAAGGTTTTGCCAAACATTTTAGGCTAGCTATGAGATTCAACTTGACCGGCCGGCCGATTCTATCTGATTCAACTTTGTTTTGTTTTTAATAAAAAAAGTATAAATTAACTTATTCAATTTACAACGAATTCACTTTATATAAAATTTAATAATTATGCTTTTTACACATTATTTGTGGCATAGATGTTGTTAATCTCTACATCACATAAAAGTGGATATTATTTAAGATTATAATTCATTTTTAAATTATTTTTTATTCAAAAATATATTAAAATAATAAATGTTTGTTTTTTAAAATTTAATTTTATTATTAGCATGCAAACAATTTCTAATTCTGCGTGTGGGGTGGGGCTTTCTTTTTTTCTTCTTTGTTTGAACTCTTATTTGGCTTTGAGCCATTGGAATATTGGATATACCCTTTTTCCATTCCTTGAACTCCCACTTAAAATCCGATGAGGACCCGGGTGGACTAGAAATCAGCCGCAAAGGGAACAGCAGCAGCGGAAATCCCAGGTGGGCGGCCGGTGCTTGAAGTCATTGTGGGAGGAGGATTTTGTGAACCTATATGACGGCGACTGAGATAATTTCCGTGCAGCAACCGGGAGGGAAGGAGGAGGCAGCATCCTACAAGGAAACTGGGAAGAAAAGTCAAGGCTTTATACGTGGCAGAAATCTTGACTTGTTCTAATTAATTACAACTATCTTATATTATCTTTATGAGGCATTTTCCAGCCAGTAAAATACTTCTTAGGATATGATAAAAATCTATATAAATAGCCAAAGGTCCATGAAACCTTTGTTCAATCAATAAAAACATAAATATCAAACACCTTTCAAAAAAATTTCTAATAGCTGGTTCGGAAACGTGAGTGAGTTAACTCGTATTTTTTAAAATTTTTAATTTTTTTATATATTTTATATTATTTTAATGTACTAATTATAAAAATAATTTTTTAAAAAATATAATAAAAATATTATTTTAATATATTTTAATACAAAAAATACCTTAAAAAACTACTGCTAGACTTTCAAATAAACTTTGAACTTATCTTTCCATCACATCTTACAAGTTACAGTAGTGTTGTTAAACTGGCCAATCAAATTTAATAAATCAATTCAATAGTTTATGGATTCGGTCTTTGATTTAAACTGGATTTGAAATTAAACAAGTAGGAATATTCCAAAGGATAAAACCAAGAAAAATATCCAGAAGGATCAAAACAATATGTTAGGTGGTTAATTACAGTCCTGATCACCAATATTCCTCCTAATCTCGTAAACAAATTTGTGATTACACTACTGGTCACTAGTTAAATTTGGAAAGGAATAAAACCCTATAGTACCTGTAGGTCGGTGGTAAATATAACAAGATAAGATTATTAATAAACCATACACTAAAAAGAAAGATTTGGTTGAGGCCTGGCTACAACGTAATAATAATAAAAATAATAAGAGCAATAATTTATAAACAATCAAATCCAATTATCAAATGTATAGATATAAAAATGCCCCCCCTGTAGAGAAGACCAAGATAGTCCTTAGCTTAGATAGATTATGGGTATGAATATTTAGTTTCTTGGTTTTGTATTTTAAAAATATATTTTTTAAAAATTATTTTTTTATTTTTTAATTTTAAATTAATATTTTTTTAGTGTTTTTAGATTATTTTAATTCATTAATATAAAAAATAATTTTTTAAAAATAAAAAAATATTATTTTAATAGTTGTAGTATATTTTTAAATATATTTTTAAAAATTTATAACTTCTTTTTCAAATATATTTTTAAATACTTATAACTTGATTTGAGGTACATCGATGTTATTAAACTTAATTTTAATAATAATTCAATTAGCTATTATTTTTGGACCGATGAATTATAAGTATCATAACATATATATATTTTGTTATATAAAAAGTAAAAATAAAAAATAAATTATAGAAGGTGAAGATAATAAACTATAGCTTTTTTGAACCGAATAAATTCAAAAATTAATTATTTATAAGAGTATTTTCATAAAACTAAAGAAAAAATAACAAGCTAGAGATTGAACAAGTTTTTGTTTTTTTGGTTACAATATACCTTTTCAACATATTTTTTAAATTAATTTTTAGCAATAAAAAAATATTAAGTTAATTTTTTAAATATAATAATATTAAAAAAAAGGTCTATGATAAGTTTTGTCAAATATTTATCTGTATTTTTAATTGAAAAATATTTATTGTATCGTCTTGCAAAACACATTTATATACAAATCAAAAACAAATAAGGGCTGATTGATAAGTTTCTTCAAACTATAGTGACTAAGTCGTCTAATTAATTCTTCCTTTTAAGCCCCATCTCTTCTCCCTCTCTTTCTCCACAGACAGACTCCACAGAGAGACAGTCAAAACAAAGCATCTCTCTCTCTCTCTCTCTCTCTCTCTCTAAGAAGCAGCCGTAAAAGTTCAAATCCCAAAAATACCCATAAAACCAACTAAATTTCCACTCTGTCAAGCCACTCTGTTTTCAGAAAACTCACAAACACAGATCAAAGCAGCGGCAGCAAGGTCATTTCGGTAACTTCAAAGATCCCCGTGCTGTTTCCTTCTCGATGTTAATAACCAGTAATAACATTCCAGGCGTCGGAATCCAGCTCTCCGACGGCGGCGGCGGATTCTGGTCGGAACTTTTGGTCGCAACGCCGCCGTCGATCACGACCGTCGCTTTCACTGCCCTAGCCGGAACCGCGTTGTTTGCCGCCCTGCTCTACACCACCAGTAGGTAATAACACTAGAAGAACAAAAAAAAAACCTATTTTTTTCCAAAATATTTAAGTGAGAGTGTGAAATTATAAGGTAGATGAAAACTCTAAAACGAAGTCCAACGTCGCCGTCTTCGTCAAATTCATCTTCTCCTCCGTCGTCGTCGTCAAGTTTGTCGTCTTCTTCGTGGATTCATTTGCGTTCGGTTCTCTTTGTTGTTAATTCCTCCTCACCGGCTTATTGTTCCTCCTCTTCCTCTTCTGATCGGTGAGTTCTCTCTCTGAAAAATACTCTCTCACTCATCGTTGGTGATTCTAGTGATTTTGCTTTCTATCTCTGCTTTTTCCAGATCCGATCTTGGAAAAATAGTAGCTGTAGATCGTGTTTTCAGTCTCTACTACTACTTCTTACCCCACTTGTTCTCATCTCTTCATTTTTTTCTAAGTTTTCGCTTTCTTCGATGGAATTTGCGTGGGTTTGGCTCGGTCAATTTAGGGTTTCTATTTTAAAAAATGGGTTGATTTTGTTATTTTTATGGATTCTTTTTCAGTTTTTTAATCTCTTTTGATATGGATTGTTGTTTATTTAATGCGTAACTTGGTTTATAGTAACAATGGTGCGGATTTTCGAGTTGAAAATTGAATGTTTGTATGCTTTTTGCATTAAATTTTTGGGAATCAGGTTTAGGGTATCGGTATAATCATATATTTTTGCAAGCTACCACATCTGTCGCAAAAATCTAATTTATTTGGATTAGAGATGAGTGCGATTACAAAATCTTTTCTATCTCTTTCTTGGGTGATGGGTATTTAAAGAAACTACCAAAAAGTGAGCTGCTAGATAGTGCCCTTTCGCTTTCAATGGAGTATTTTTATTCAGACATTTAACTTTCCTTGCTGGATTGTTTGTGGTCGTGTTGATTTTGTTTTTGTTGGAATTTGATCATTGTTGTTCTTTTATTGCAGGGGTCGACTGAAGTCACCATGGTCTCGAAGGAAAAGAAAACATGCCCTTACACCTAGGCAGTGGAAAAGCTTGTTTACATCAGACGGGAAACCCAGAGATGGCGGGGTTAAGTTTTTGAAAAAAGTTCGAAGCGGAGTGAGTAATCATCGTGATTGCAATTTGTGTTTTGCTTTGTTTGTTAGATGGGAATATTTACTTCTTATGTTTCTCTTGTAGGGTATTGATCCATGTATTAGAGCAGAGGTCTGGCCATTCCTCCTTGGAGTGTAAGTACATTGAACCTTGTTATATTTTTATTTATGTCTTTTTCTGCTGCTGCTTTCTCATCTCTTAGGAGAGACCCTGTATGTGTTCTTATGAACTTCATGGTCCAAATTTAGGAGCTTTTGGTCTTTAGCTTACCAGGGAAAGGATTTCAATCATTTTTCCCTCCCTTAAATCCAGAGACTGTGAATCAGTGTTCAAATTTGTTGAATGACATGTTCCTGCATTTTACATTACAATCCATGCGTGCTGATTCCTGTTCATCCACTGAATTCTGATCAATGATTAATGCATCGTCCATTGTGGTCCTTAAACCTTTTTACCAATGTTAATATGGCCCTTCAGTCCAACGTTGTTTGGTGTCGTGTGTCACTTTGACAAGAGACGAAGTTAGTGAGAATTCCACAGAAGTACCGCAATTGAAACAAGGAGAAATACAAGGACCACAGTAGAGGATATGGTAGTTGAGAGACCTTTTTCCTGAATTGGGAAGTTGGGTGAACAGTACTACATTTCAACTGTAAAGTTTCTGCTTTCATACAGTGTCTTCTTTTCCTATTTATTTATTTTTGTGTCTCTGTTTGAAATCATTGAGCCGGACATGCAATTCATTAGTTTGTCAATGTCGTCAAGCCCTCTTTCTCAATGCATTTGCTCCTTGTTTTTCTTTCTAGAGCCTTGACCTTGATTCGCTTTTAAAGAGTCCTTTACTAGGCAATGATTTATACTGTCATGATGTTCCTACATTGCCAACATGATGAGCGGTCTTGTTTTCTGTTTACAGATATGACTTGAGTAGTTCCGCAGAAGAAAGAGAGATCATCAGAACCCAGAAAAGGTACCTTCTCCATACTCAGTTTGTAGATTCTAACTTGGAGATTCAGACTACTTTTTTGAGTTTTTAATTACAGATAATTTGATTGTTGTTATTTGAGTCCCTAAATGTAAAGCCTTTCTGTCTTCCTTCAATTTCTATTCTCATGGTTCTTTTCTTTACAATCTTGGCTGCAGAAAGGAATATGAGAAATTCCGCAGACAGTGCAGGCGATTTCTCAAACGCATCAATGAGTGCTCTGGAGGAACTAGTGAAACAAGCTGTATTGAGGATAGTGGAAGTCCCACACAAGATTCTGACTCCTCAAGTTATGAAGATGTGGTTAGTGCTAGGGAGTCTCTTTCAAGCGAGGAAAGGAGTCCAGATGTTGAGGACTCTGATGACCCCTCCAGTGCATTGTTGGAAGGTGATGATGGTTCAGGTCAAGCCACAAACACTGATGCCTCTGCACTAAACACCGAGTCATCTGACTCAGACTCTTCTGAAGACCCTGAAGTCATTCAGGCTTCCTCCTCATCTGAGGGCAGGGAAGAGAATGATCCTGATGTGCCTTTGAAAGAGAACATCTCTCCCTCTAAGACTGATCTCCATCCAAACCAATGCTCTGGTGAAAATTTTGCCACGTGGCAGCGGATCATTCGTGTTGATGCAGTGCGAGCCAATTCTGAATGGATTCCGTATTCCCCATCTCAGGCAACAGTTTCAGAGTTAAGAGCATGCCGTGCTGCAGAGGCTGTTGGGTTGAAGGACTATGATCACTTGGAACCCTGCAGAGTTTTCCATGCTGCAAGACTAGTTGCTATTCTCGAAGCCTATGCAGTCTATGACCCTGAAATTGGGTATTGCCAGGGCATGAGTGATCTACTTTCCCCAATAATTGCAGTGGTCACAGAGGATCACGAAGCTTTCTGGTGTTTTGTGGGTTTCATGAGGAAGGCTAGGCATAATTTTAGGCTTGATGAAGTGGGGATCCGAAGGCAACTCAATATTGTTTCCAAGATTATAAAATGCAAAGACTCCCACCTCTACAGGCACTTGGAGAAGCTCCAGGCTGAGGATTGCTTTTTTGTTTATAGGATGGTGGTTGTGCTGTTCAGGAGAGAATTGACATTTGAACAGACAATTTGCCTCTGGGAGGTGATGTGGGCAGATCAGGCAGCTATTAGGGCTGGTATTGGAAAGTCTGCATGGAGCAGGATAAGGCAGCGAGCACCACCAACAGAGGATTTATTGCTTTACGCAATTGCGGCTTCTGTGTTACAGAAAAGGAAATTAATCATAGAGAAATATAGCAGCACGGATGAGATCTTAAGGGAATGCAATAGCATGTCCGGGCAACTTGATGTATGGAAACTTCTCGACGATGCACATAATCTGGTGGTGAACCTTCATGACAAGATAGAGACACCCTTCTGAAGACTGCTCAACGACCATTTTGTCGCCCATTTATATGCTTCATTTTTATTTTTTCAAGGTCTTTGTTCTGTGGAGATATTTCCAGCCTTCTTGTGCTCTGCTCCAAACATAACCTATAAGGAGGTTATCCATCTTCAGCAATGCTGCTAGCTGCTCACTTTCAAGTCTTAGTTGAAGTGGCAAGTGGCATGCTTGAAAAGATTTATTTAGCTTTATATGCTATTCACCTAGACCATTTTTTTTAATACAGAACACGATCTTCACAATCGTTTGTCATATCATATCAAGTAGGTGGGATCTGAATTTTCGATCAATGTACCATATTGAAAATGTTGATCATTCCCAAATTGTCTCCTCAAGTAGGAGGGATCTTCCAATGGTTTCCAAAGCAAATTCAACCAAAACCAGATGGTGCCATTGTCCCAAATAGCTCGAAAATGTTGCAATTTCGCTGTAGAAATTTATTCAGATATTGCAGGGATCCAGTTGAGACGTTTACACAGCTTTTGAAAAGATTTTCATACCCATTGCAATGCCTGTGGTTTACAAGGTACCTCCTGATATCACCAAAACCGATATTTATCCCGTTGCCACAGAAAGAACAACAGAAAGAAAGTTTCAAAAGTGAAAAGCTCCTGTTTATCAACCAACAAAATCAGACATGTCCAGTTACCACTTACAAGTGACTAACTGTTCCAAATAAATACCAAAGGGTTCAATTATGGACCCCTAGCTAACTTCGGCACAAACACAACGCAAGGGAGGAACAAAACAAAAGAGTGTTTTAAGAATTAAACTGATTGAATCCCATCTAACCCCTCAAAGATGATAGATCCAGATAAATCATAGCCTCTACTCTTTCTTGGTGTAGGTTCGGACCGCAAGAGCCAAGCCCAGGATCAGAAGTGGCACAAGTAGCTGCAAGATCTTAATCAGAAACCCGGGCTTATCGTCTTTAGGATTTGTTCCTCCCAAACCAGGTGCCACGTAAAGGCGTTTTGTCGGGACTGTTGTTATATCTACCTCACCAATAACATACTTTTCCATCATCTCTCTAGCATCATCGCTGTGACCCACATCTTCAAAATCATTTGTTGCATCTTTCCCTGTAAAATAAATGGGAGAGTTCATGCATGTAACTCGGAATAGGTGGTTGAATTTGGGTTTTTGTACTGTTAAGTAACACACAGAATGAGTTCAAGAGGGCAGGCATGGTTCCTCTAAAAACTTCGTGCTAAAATTTAATAGGTTTTACAGAACAGATATTAGAACCAACCTGTTGATGACAGCAAAACCTCATCGCCTCCGGGGTGATCATCCATGAACGAGGTGACATCATACACCTGAGTATAATGCTCAAAACTTCAATAAACAATTAAAATAAAAAGAAACAAAGAATCAAGTGCAGATTCCATTGCAAACACACATTGGCGTTATTTTTCATATCAAAGAAAAAGAGTAGTGCGGGCAGTTCACACCCTACTGCAAAGAGTAATTTACCATAACTCCAGTTTTCCATGCAAGAGATAAATTATCAGTGTATCACTAAGCAATCAGATATTGCACTGACAGATTAAAAACAAGATGAATGACCATGCATATTATGTACGGGCGTTACTCTTCCAAAATTATCATAGAAGACCTATCAAAGTGATTTTGCCAAATATAATGCATATTAGCTTCTCAAGGCCTTCCTCTTTACCCCTTCCATAAGGGGATTATTCTGTTACACACTTCACAAATTAATATGGGATCCAAGGTTGATACAAACCATGCGATGAGAGCGCACTGGAGCACTGCTTTGGTATGTTTACTGCTTTGGTTTGTTTAAGATTGTGTTTGAAAGTCTAACGCAGTTGTTTTTTAAAATACTTTTCACTTAAAAATATATATATATTATTTTGATGCATTTCCGAGTAAAAAGTATTTTATATATTATTTTGATGTATTTTTTAGTAAAAATTATTTTATATATTATTTTAATACATTTCCGTGCGAAAACTATTTTAAAAAGCAACCGGTTTACACTTTCAAACACAATCTTAAACAAACCAAAGCAGTGATCCAGTGCGCTCTCATATTTATAAATTACTTTTGACAGACATAAAAACGACCTTAAACATATAAAAAAAAAAGTTTAAGAATTTTTTTTTTTCTAATTTTGACGAATCCAGGTAAAACCGCGCAGCCAAACATAGCCTAAGTAATTTTTCCTTCCACAGAATAGGGGGCACTTGGTTCATAAAGCATAATAAAGGAACAGACTTTGCAATTATAAGAATAAAAATAAACTTTCAACTCTTTAATCATGCAATAGAAACGATAGCACTGGTAAAGATTTAATTTTCAATTAAGAAAAAAAAATCCAAAGAGGCAAAACAAAAGGTCAAAGTTCCCATCTTGCAATCTCAAACAAAATTTTCTCAGCAACCAAACAGAATTTCCCTTCTTAATCTCAAAAGGTACAAAAAATGAAACTTTGAGAAGGAGATCTGACCTTGCCAGAGATAATAAGCCAGCAATCCTTGGTTTTGTTGTGCTTGGAAATCTCATCAAATAAGTAAACCTTTGACGAAGCCATATCTTTCACAAATACTGGTCACAAAACCACAAAAAAATTCAAAACCCACAAATATCCACAGCCAAAACCCTTCAGATTTCCACAAAAAAGAAAGATCCACATAAAAAAATTTAAAAAGAAGAAGAAGACCCTTATTAATCACAGAAGCCCATCACAAAAACAACGAAAGATCATCAAAACAGGCGATTAAGATTATGGCTAAAAAAAAAGACACCATCAAGAATCTATGTTGCTTACAAGAAAGACGTCCTGTAAGATGCAGGAGGTTGCCTCTCTCTCTTGGCTTTTGACAAAAGTTTATGGAGCTCTGCTGACCTTGGGTAATGATTTATAGTAGTTTATAAAGCTCGAGAGAGTGGCAGCTGGCAAGACGACGAATCATGGTTTGGTGGACTCTCCTATTTTAGATGCCGTATTTAGAGATCGTAGGACACTATATTAGAAAAAACAAAGAAGCATAATTAGGATATGATTAATTTATTAATTCGATGAATTAAGTAAGAAAATTTTTCCATCTTAATTTGCAATGAACTTAGAAAATTTACAAATGCTATGAATATTTGCGTGTGTCAGCCACTCAAGATTTGATTGCAGTGCCCATTACACATGAGATATGATAGTTCATGCTGCGCAGTCCAATATTCAATGAATTTAATGAAAGTTTTTTACTTTTTATTTTTTATTTTACACTTATAAATTAAAAAATATATTTTTCTTTATAAATCGTTGGAGGGGAAAATTAGATTTGAGTTGATATTAAACCATGATATAAAAAATAATGATAGAAAATATTTTGTATTATACAATCAAACCTCTATAAATTAATATTTTCGGGATTATAAAAATATGTTGATTAATTGATATATATCTGGATGGTATTAAAATATTGTTTAAGAACAAATCCCTCAGGTCTTGGCTTAGGGTCAACCTTTTCTCCTGGGAATGCAGAGTGGACAAAACCATTAATTAATTTAAAAAAAAAGAAGAATCCTTGAGTTTTTGTTTAGATATAGGTGTGGTTTGCAGCTGCTTTTTAAATTTATATTTGTAGATTATTTTTATATATTTAATATTAAAAATATTATTATGATAAATTTTAATAAAAATATCCTTTAAAAAATAATTATTACTAGGTAGAATCCAATGATAATGCCAAATTCACAGATCTAGGGGCATGAAACTCGTGCAAACATGGCAGTAAATCCCTTCCCCTTGCCTATAAATAATAATAATAATAATAATTTAAATAAATAGTTTAATCTTTCTTGGATATTTGATGTTAGGTAGAGTGAAAGCGATATATTTTTAAATAAATTAATAAATTAATTAGAATTAATTTGTTTTCTAATTTTGTAATCCGATCATCTCAAGAGAATTGTCTGTAGCAATATTAGTGTTATTATATATTTATTTATTTTTATATCACGTCTTGTGACGGAAGATGCCAAGGTGCTGTTTGGTATTGCAAGGTGGAAAGGTTGTTGTATATAATTTGGTGTATTCTTGTGTTGCAATAATAATAATAATAATAATAATAACTTTTAAACAGGTGGGAAAATACCTACAGAAGAGAAGGATGAGGGCCTCACGGTGAGAAAAGCATATCAACAAGTATGGAACCGGTGGCTGCCATGCAACGATTGATAATTTCCAAGTTGCATCTGCAAACTCCCTCACCTCAGAGTTCCCTTAGGAACCGTTTGTAACCCGTGTTTTTAAAAAAATTAAATTTTTATTTATAAATTTATATATTTTAGATCATTTTATCATGTTAATATTAAAAATAATTTTAAAAAATAAAAAAAATCATTGATATAAATTTTAATATAAAATATTATTTGAAAAGCAACAGCTATCACGCTGTCAAATACAACCTTAAAGAGGATTACTGGGGATTTGTTTTTGTATTTTAAATTTTTTTTTAAAAAAATTGATTGTTTTATTATTTTATTTTAAATTAATATGTTTTTATATTTTTAAATTATTTTAATGTGTTGATGCTAAAAATAATTTTAAAAAAATTAAAAATTATTATTTTAATATAGTTATATATATATATATATATATATAAACATTTTAGAATTAATCAACAGCCAGGCAGTGCCGCGATATTGAACCGCACAACTTGACCTCATGATGTGATATGGGCAATCGCTTACCTTATATTATATTATATTATTGTATTTCTCCAATAATTAATCAATTCTTTTTTGTGGCTTATTTTATCCATATCAAATTTATTTTATTTTATTTTTATTTT